CGTCCCAATAGACAGGAGAGAGGAGCGTTCCAGGAACTCCCTTCCCCGTGGGTCCAGGATTAGCCCATGGGGCACTAACTCCCTCATCTTTCCAGGCTGCATGCATGAGTGAAGAGTGGATTCCCACAAGGCCCCACAAGAAGCCCTGAGGGAAAGCAAGAGCTTTGCAGTGTAGCTGAAGGGAGGTTCTATCAAGCCATGGGGAACAGCTGTAGTAACAAAGGTTAGAGGGAAAGACGGAGGTGTGTGAGGTGAGGATACTGTGGGGATACCAGTGCCCCTCCAAAGGATAACAGCATAAAGAAGATTACAGCAGAACTACTGCAAATTAACAATACCTATTGGAAAGCCCTTTACTATCAAAGGCGAAGAAGATTAAAATAGGCCTTTGAATGTTTAATAGATGTTTGCTCTTGTTAAAAAAAAGTGAAGGTTTTTTTTTTAATTTTCCTTCAAGTTTTGTGTTATTGGAGGCCTGTGTTCACAGGTGTATACATCACACACTTGTGATGTAAGGAAGAGAAACACACATGTGCGCATGCAAACACACACATACATCTCTGTCTTTCCATTTCTTGCCCTCAGGGCTAATTTGTTTAAAAAGAAGACGAGGGAAATCACTACAAAAGCAAAACCAAATGCCTCTGAAAATTAAAACAGCAGCTTTGAAATCTATAATGGAAAAGGAGGGACATATGTTTTAAAACTGTCACACTGCAAGACCACGGCCAGCATGTCAATCTGGAATATATATATTTTTATAATTTAAGAGCCAATCACACAATGACAATAAAACAAAATTCTAAGAGAAAAAAAAAACCCAAAGGTATTGTCTTTTTTTCTTAAACTAACTCAAACACATAGGATGGTAAAGGCAAAGTCATTTAAATCATTTCCTTAGTAATACAAGTAATATTTAAATAGATTTAACAGTGCTGCTCCAAACCAATGAATTATGGGTTTAAAACCTATTAAAATGTAATGTTTTTTTCCTGAGCTAAGAGGAGAGAGATTTAAATCCACTGAATTTTAATATTTCAGCTTGAGCTGCAGGAGGTAGAGAAAGTCCAAATGAACTATTCCATCAGCACCATTCAAGCATGAACATTTTAATCAGTTTTACTTCCTTGGAGTTCTCTAACACAGTTTACGCTGCCATTCTGAAAGCACTTAACACAGAGAGTGTGAAAAACCACCAAGGCTTGTTATTGCCTTCACAATTGATGGCAAATAATTTTGCAGACTTCCTATCATTAAAATGTCACTGCTAAAAATTGAGGTTCAGCATTTCTTGTGCTAAACTGCATTTTCCTAGAACACCACGGCATACCTGTTCTGGAAGGGGTTTTCAGGAGAGGGTACTTTCTTTTTTAAAAATACATACATTTCTATCATTTTTTTCCTCAAAGAGTTAGGAGAGGCTACAAAGAAGAGAGGAAGAAAAAACAATCCAAAGAAACCACATTTTCTGTTTTTACAAGCCAAACATTTTCCTTTTCAGTGTTCACGCGAACATAACTTTTTTCTTAATGGGAGTTTCTTTGGTGAAATTCTTAGGAGGTTCCAAGTCAGCTTCCTTTATCAAGCATAACCACATTTACACAGCATGTGCTGATTATATAGTGTAATGGATTTAAAAAGCATTTTAAGATAGTCAGATGACTCAATTTAATAATACAGGAAATGAAAACATCATTTCTAATTAGATCATATTACTGATTTAAAACTACAATTTGTACGTTGTTCCAACAGTGTGATCTTGCAGAGATTCTAATTTAAAAACACGGTGGCTAGTAGGACATATGACAAGATCAAACTAGATACATAACATTTCCACAGCACAATTGGGGGAACACAGGGAAAGCTTCCAGCAAATGTGCAATACAACCAATTCAAAACAAAACACAGGAGAGTAACCAGAGGAAACAACACAGAAATTTCCCTGATTTTTTCCCCCTTCTAAGTAAAAGATAAATGATATTTAACTTATTTCAATCTATCAACAGCTTTAAACTGAACATGACCTGTGAAAGAAATCATCATAACTGCGTTTCATTCCATTAAACACAACTAGCTTATTGTCAAGAGAACAAGCCGCCTCTCCAGGTTTCAGGCTCACTTCAGCATTTTGCATTTAAACTGCATGGATCACTGGCTTGGCTCATTTACCAATGAAGGTAGAATAATACTGCAGAGTTAAAAAGGTGCTTCATCAGATTTCATTAAATCTGGGAACATTTGTGCTTGTCTGGATGGTGTGCATACATATAAAACAGACACATACCTAGTGGTACCTAAATGAAGGTCTCTAGGGGCTTAGGTGGGCCTTTGCTTCTCTGGAGAAACATTTTCATTCCCTCAACCCAGGAAATCACTGCCGATTACATTCTAAAACTCAAGTGACAAAAATCTAAAATAGACCCCTCATCATTTTTGGTAGCCAGGTCAAAACACAGCCGCCTCACAACACAGCCATGCCCTAGAGGACAGGTGCTAATCAGGCACCCAGACAGCAGGTACATTTAAAATTCCACAGGGTTTTGACTCTGAAAACTCCTGGACTCAAGGTACTACTACCCAGGGCTGAAAAAGACAAAGAAGAAAGAGAACAGCAGCAGCAGAAATTCATCAAGTTGAGTTTATAATTAGGCTCTTTCCTGCTCACTCGGTTTGTGGTTCCCTAAAACTGCTGGGCTTGTTTTTCTGTTCCTGCAATTTATTTTTCAGAATAGTAAGATTATGTGATTTTGACTCCATTTTCTGCTCAGATACAACTAATTTGGAATCCCCCCAACTCCACCCTGGATCCACCAACTATAGGCTGGCTGCTTTGATAACATGAGGCTCTACTGAGTTAGTTCTTCAAATAAGTTTTTAGGTTAAAAAATTAAATTAACTTTATTTTAGTAATTAAATCCATATATATACAACATGTCAGTAACTCGGCTATGTGTAATAAAGCATTCATTCCCTGAGAAAAGGTAATCTGTCGCCCCATTCAATACAAAGTATGTAAAAACGAAAGAGATGTAAAACAGCATTAAAAATATACTTGATGTGATGAAGAGAAGGGAACTTGTTCTGATCCTCCATCTTCCCTCACATTTTTAAGCAACATTCAAACACCAAACAATGTGTTTTTGATTTAGGTTAATCGCTCCACTGTACAAACAGTAACTAATAAGACTCGGAAAAGAAACAAAACAGCATTCTATTTTCCTAGGAAAGACTGCCAATCAGACCTAAGGTAGGACAGCTATCTGTATCTCAGCAGTTCAAAGAAACAATAAGCACTAAGCCAGAAATGACCCAGCAAGCTCCCCCATCAGTCATCACTCCACACCTTCTCTCCATGAACAGCAGACACTGCAGTGGGTGAGAAATGTCTGTTCTATCCCTTCTGACCTGTGGGAGATGTGGTAACAAAACCAGCTACCATCCTATACCATCCCAGCATGAATACAACACGCACGTGCATACGCACACACTCACTTCAGACAAACACAGCTGGTATGCACATACATACCTAACTTTAAGGTTCAAGCTTTCTCAACTTTATTTTCTTAATTTACTATATTGCTGGTTTCTGGAGTTTCAGGAAATAGAAACGAACTGTGAAATGTGTTCATCTCTCATTTCCCCTCACTGGAGCATAAAAATGTACGACAAATGTTGCTTGTGATTTGCTCTGATTCAACCTCTTCTTTCCAAGGGGCATTTCTCAGGAAGTAAAGGTTACTTTTTTCCGTTTATGTCTTCTAATTTACTACCAGTATTTGCTTGTGGTTAGAGGGACAGACACAAAATAGAGCTCAAAACAGACCATTAAAAAACAAGCGACAATTACACTATTGCTCCACCACCTTCAGCAGTGATCCCAGAGTTCTGATTTCCTTGTTAAAAGACAGAGGCATAACTGAAGCAATAGATTCATTTCAGATTGATTATCAGGTGACCCTTATCCGCATCTTCACTCATCAATTTGAATTTTAATGAAAGTAAATGGAATAATTAGCATTTCAGAGTGTGTTTGATACACTAAGGGGGAAAAAAAGAGAAAAGACTTTTGTGTATAATCACTTTTGTGTATAATCTATACACAAAAGAAGTATTTGGGAAGGGGCAGAAAGAGGAGAGTACAGTGGCAGTGTCTTCATTAGAATAACTTAGGGGACTGCTTGTACCAGCTTGCATAAATGTAGATGTGAATACTGTGCTCTTTTCAGCTAAGATTTCTCACTTTTATTTTATTACTTGTTACCTTAATCTGGAAGAACAAAACTGTAAGTGGAGTGGGAGCGATTGCCCAAACCCATGAATTCAACAGGGTTTCTATGCAACGTTAATGCTACTGTTATTGCCAGGAAGGATTCTGTAATTGGGCCACCAATTTTTCAAAAAATATGGTTCACCTATTATTTCTAGTACAAACAGTCATTAGCCCACAAGAACCACTCATCAGAGGGATGAAGAGTAGCAGGGGAGATGCTAAAGTATACATTTAATTTCACTAAAAATGAATTTAAGATACTCTACATAATCATTTGGGAGGCCTGGTGGAGCAGTGGTGAAAAGCTGGGCTGCTAACCAAAGGGTCGGCAGTTTGAATCCACCAGCTGCTCCTTCGAAACTCTGAGGCAGTTCTACTCTGTCCTATAGGGTTGCTGGGAGATTAAAGTAGGTCATTTTAACATCAGGGCAATCTGTATCTTTTTACTGGCATAAGCTAGCAACAGAAGCTGACTGCAAAGGAAAGATATATTACAAAAAAGAAATATCCATTCTCCTTAGAGGAGAGTTTTCTGAAACATATCACCTTAAACTGGTGAGAACGTGATCCAAAGTTTCTGAAATAGCCATCAAAGTTCAGGAGCTTTTAAGGCAAAGTGCTTAACTTCACTTTTCTTTTTGCCCCGTTGATGGAATAAAATTTAAAAAGAGAGAGTGAGAGAGCTGATGACAAACACTAAGATCAGAGCTAAAATGGAAAGGCCACGTACCCCAATGATGGCGTTCAGCTCTGCCATGGTCACCTGCTTGGCCCGTTCCACAGCCTGCACCACTTGTTGCTGGTGCTATAAATGAAGATCAGAAACAGAATACAATTATTTGTTTTCTAGTCAGTCAAGAACAGCTTTTCTGAACATGTCCTCTAGCTTCAGTTTCATGCAAAACAGGATTTAGGGGGTCTCCATAATTTCCAACTAATAGCCCAGGGTGGAGGATGAGTACATGTCTAGGAACATGTGGTCCATAAAGCTGAGAAGAAGCTGGCTTCCATCTGCAGGTATCATGTCTGCGCCCCAGGAAGGATGCTTCCCTACAACTGGGAGAAGCAGCTTAAATACCCCTTTCAAGTCAGTGGTGCATGACCAAGTATCTTCCACTAAAACTAACAAACAAAGCAACATAAGCCTTCCTTTGCAACCTCTTTCCTCCTGGCCACCTACATAAAATTTGACTGAAAACATTTTCTAGAAGTATTTATTTTTAAATTTTCTCCTGATATTTGTTAGAGTCGGCACTGGAAGGACGTATAGAATTCGACATTTATGTGTTTTCTGGAAATGTGAAAAGTGTTCATATTTTATTTCCTGTCATGAAGAGCTGCCTGCATATTTAAAAAATAAAAAATGTACACACACACACACTCTCTCTCTCCAAAAAAGTACAACCCTCACTAGCAGTAACATTGAAGGACTTGAGGTATTTCTCTAAAATGTAATAAAAAGACTAAAACCTGTAAGTTTATTTTTCTTTTTGAAAAATGAGGATGGATAGAATAGGAAAATCCTTCTATCCATGATCCTGTTCAAAAGAGAATGAGCGAGAAACGATGTCAGTAATTTTTGTAATGTTGGGAAAATTAAGTAGCACAGAAATCTCTGCATGGAGACACTCACTTACATGGGGACATATACAAGTGCTTATATAAGTACCCCTACAATGTATGTATCATCCTCAGCTAAATATACTTGAACACTCTCTTATCTGCTGACGCGAATTTGGTCTAAAATAGATCTCTTTTGGACTTCTTTCAACTAGGTTTAGTGAATGAAGAGCCAAACGAACTGCGCTGTGAAGCAAGCATCCTCCTGGAAGGGCCATGTTTTGGTTGATCCCAGTTGAGAAATTTCATCAACTTTTCCCAATGATTTGAATCAGCTAATCGCTTTATTTACTACATACAAAGAGTTAAGCCATTAGTTAAGCACAGAATTCCCCTTGAAGTACCTGTCCACCTTCCAAAGTCCTCAAATATAAAGATACTAACCAGAGTGACCACTATTCTCACCTCACAGCTGGGGGTGGGGGAAGGAGGAGGAGGAAACTGCTTTAAATTGGTATCTACAATATGGTGTTTCCCTCCGTGGTTTCCTAATAGAAATGAGTGTTTTGTGCCTATGACTAATGGAAAGAAAAATGTCAAATAATGATAGATCGCTGCATTTTAATGTTTAATGGACTCTGAATATTAAACTATATACTTTTGATTTCTTTTAACTGTAGGAATTTCAGTTTCAAAACAAGGGCTTAGGATGCAATCCTAAAGTCCTTTAGATATCTCCATCGTTAATAAAATACATGTCATAGTGAAATAATTCATTTCCCTCTTTCTCTGAAGAAAGTAAAAATCCTAATAAATTGTGAAATCACTGGAAGGAAGAGAGGCAGAGCCAAGACAATGGCCATGAAAGCAGTTCTCCCCTGAAGCCAGCCAGCCTGACAGCGTATAATGACTACTGAGTACTTACTATGTGCCAAGGGAGCAGTGGTGGCGCAATGGTTAAGAGCTCAGCTGCTAAACAAAATGCGGGCAGTTTAAATCCACCAGCTGCTCCCTGGAGACTCTGTTGGGCAGTTCAACTCTGTCCTGTAGGGTCACTATGAGTCAGAATCGATTCAACGGCAACAGGTTTGGTTTTGGTTTGTACTATGTGCCAAGCACAGAGCTCATGTTTAGGTTTAAGACAGTCTGGTTCTCAAAGCAAGCAGTGAAAAATGGCAATACTTGGAAAACAGAGCAAAAGACAACACGTAAGATTCTGAGACTTAGTTAATACTCAAAATGAGAGGATTATGAACAGAAAATTTTCCACCTTTTCCACCTTTTATTTTCTCAACATTCAGTAATGGTTTCTCAAATCTTCCAAGAGATTAAAAGCAAAAGGATCACATGTATACCTATCCAACACATATCGTTCAGCCTGCTCGTGTATTAATTCATTCAACAAAATGTTTTTCTTATTCTGTGCCATTGCTCCGCATTACTAAAATATCTCCATATTACTGACATATCACCTATTTTATACTAAATATTTAAAGAACAGTTGCATGAAACAGAGCTACAGAAAATACATCTAGTTAGGGTCTTCCTACCATGGAGATCATTCAACTCGTGCTTCATAAACTGTGCTCCAACTGTTAAGACTGCTTAAGTTACCTTCGACAGTGGGGATATCTGACTCAGCACTAAAATCAAATGTGTTTACTGAGAAAATCAAAAAGAGAAACACCAGTGAGCTGTAACTGTGACACCACATGCTCCAAAGAAACTCTTGCTAAAAAGCTAAAATGACAATGTAAGACATGACTCAATGCCTTCCTTTTCTTTGATGGCAATGGCCATGGGCTAATTACAATATCTGAACTTCAACTGTAGCTCAGAATTTTACTTCCCTATTTCTGCCTACAACCGTGAATCATTCGCTGTTTAAGGACCTTTGGAACATAAGCTCCCTAAGGCACAGAATGCCTTCCCTCTGTGCTCCGAAAGTACCAGAAACATGCTGGCACTGCTCACTCAGGGAACAATCACATCATACTACAGACAAGAAGCACGCATCAGGTAAGGTGTGAAAACCAGAACTCAGACAAGAAGAGGGAGAAATGATCACAAAGAGGAAAATGAACACTAGAGGAAAAAGCCCAAAGTACTCCTGTAAGCTGACACACAGAAATGTTTTTTCTCTGCTCAGATTTTAACAAATAAGGTGTCTGACTAAGAAAACACAGTTTTTCACATCTTCTAAGAATCATCGTGGCTTCTCCATTAGGTCCGCCATCTCTTTTCCTTTTCTTCACCTTCCCCATTGGCTCCTCTCCTCCCACTCCACCCTACATCTCATTTCCTCTCCCACTTCCTGCTTATCCCCTCTGCCACCGCACAAGTGGTGACAGCCACTCTAGAGCCAGTAAATCTGCAGAAGGGAACAGGCCTATCGCCGTGTTTTACTGCTCAAGTGGCTCACTCAGCTATGGGCGCCTTTGCACTTTCTACCAGCACCACCACATAAATGCTACTAAGGATAAATTAGCAAGCCAAGGGTAAGAGGGGGATTTGCAAGAGACAAAAAAAACGTCCAATTACTTATTCTTCACAATACTATGATCTACCAAATCCACTGCCACATTCTGACTCATAGCGACCCTACAGGACAGAGTAGAACCGCCTCATGGGGTTTCCAAGGCTGTAAATCTTTACAGAAACAGAATGTCACCATCTTTCTCCCGTGGAGCAGCTGGTGGGCTCAAATTACCGACCTTTTGGTTAGCAGTCACGCGCTTTAACCACTGTACCACCAGGGCTCCTTCAAAGAATACAAGCACGGTTGAAAAAGGTAAATTCTGTACATTGAATCACTTTTGTACTTACTTTCAATGTAAAACTATTTTTTACATCTGTTCCAGAAAAGTATTAAAAATACTTTTTTCTACAAGAAAAAAGATTAAAATAATATAAGCTCATGACAGCCTGACAAAGCCTGCTGAGAAACAGACCTTATCAAACCACTAGCCTGTGTACAGTAGGTGTTTAGTCAGTGTTTCTCAGGAGGGTTTATGATGACAATACCTGAGAGCTACATTTAGGGCATGACAACAGTGTGGTACTTCTAATAAATACAGTAATAATAATAAAATCTAGATATTACAACTTAGATTTTTTTTTTTAATACCTTCCTATTGGTTGGGGTAATAGGGGCAGAGATAGTAAATGAACTATTTATCTTATGAAGAAATAACAAACATTATTAATTAATGTTCCTGACGCTTGGAGAAGCAAAAATGAACAAAACATGGTGGTCCCACCCCTCACAAAACTCAAGTCAAAACTAGTAACCAGTTGCCTTCGAGTCAATTCCAATTCATGGTGGCCCCATGTGTCAGAATACAACTGCACACAATAAGGTTAAGGTTTTCAATGGCTAATTTTTCAGAAGTAGATCTCCAGGCCTTTCTTCTGAGGCACCTCTGGATAGAGCACATCTCTAATCTTTCGGCTGGCAGCAGAGCACGTTAATTACCTGCACCACCCAGGGACTTACAGACATACAGCGCATCTTACGATACAGGAATATAAGACATAAGATGCAAGCGAAGGTTGTACAAGGAGAGAGCCAGCACTTCGTGGGGCATCAGGAAAGGCTTTGTTTTTCACTCATTCATTCAAACACTTACTAAGCACCTACTCTAAGCCAGGCACTGTTCTGAGCACTGAGGTTAGAGTAATGAATAAGACCAACCATGGGCCTTGCCCTCCTAGAGCTTATACTCTGTCAAGGAAGACAGTCAATGAGTTGAGTAAATTTACTCAAGAGGCTATATAATTAAACTGGAGGATACTCTTACATGAAGGAGAATGCTCTGCGATCATTTATCAGGGACATTTAACCTAATCTTGGGGCTAGTGGAAGAGTCCCTAAGGAACCAGACCTGACAACCAAGAGTTGACAGATTAGTAGGAGTCCTTGGATGAAGAGCAAGGAGAAAAGAATTCCAGGCAGAGGGCACAGCTTGGGTAAGGCCCTTGAAGGGGAAAGGAGTTTGCTTCTATGGAAGAAAAGAAAGAATACCTAAAGGACTGGAGGAGGAGAGTGTATGGCAAAGTCAGAGAGACAGGCAAGGGTGGGGTTTTGCAGGGTCTTCTTGGGCACTTAAGATGCACATGCAGAAATCTTTAAAGTGGAAGAGTTGTTCACAAAAAAGAACACCCTAGGCAAGCGCATGAAGACAGGTGAGTATGGCATGGGCGTACTCTACAGAACCATACATTAGTGGGAAATATAATCTGTAA